AAATAATACTAGAATAACACTGTCACTTAGGTTGTCTCAAACTTTTTAGATTTTTTTTTTTGCCATTTGGATTTAGTAAGAATAGTAGTAAGTATAAATGTGGTTTTGACTGGTAGTATGTGCCATAAAGTCATCTTTTTGAGAAAATTAATTAATTGATATCAATCGTTTATATTAGGTTAAGTAAAGTATCAGATTACTGCACCTGGTAAAATCTATTCACAGTTTGAAAATGTGACTGTCTAATACAGCAAAGATAACTGGTATTGTGTTTCAGCTTTTGCACAGTCATCACACATTTCTGGACTCAGAGACCAACTGGGAGCTGATGGTCTGGTGTGCTGCTCTAATGGTTTTCCTCCTACGCCTCGCTACCCTCGGAGCTGAGACCAACCGAAAGTACAGCAACGCTTCTGTGCTTCTGACTGAACAGGTGAAATTAAAATCTCATATACATGCACATAGGGGTGTGCGATATCCCAATTTTTGATCGTGGACTATTAAAGTGTCGCATAAATATAGTTAATAACGTAGAAATATTGTACTATTGTGCTACAGCGCACATTCTATCAGTACCAGTTCTGGCGCCTCCGTCTCAATATCTGTACGCCACATACATTCACATCAAATGTTATAACTCAGTGGTAGAGTTACACTCACGGGACACTGCACACTTTAAAGCCTTGCCGGTTAAACATTTCATTGTGCTGTTCTGACATGCGCTTTTTCTGAGTGCGTACACCTGAAGCGCACTCACACTAAAAAGCCTGTCAAACAGCGCCTGATTGCTGGACTAAGTTATTTTTTGCGTCTGATTGCACTAATACTGTCAAAAATACAAGGTTTACATGTAAACACATTTTGTTTTGTCTAAAGTGAAAGTAAAAAGTTAAGAGAAAAATGAATGTGTGCCTGTACAGTATATTACATGCGTGCAGCACTTAAAGGGACAGCAGACTAATAATTGTACTAAACATGCTGCCGCTTGTCATTAAAGGGATAGTTCACCCAAACATTAAAATTCTGTCATTATTTACTCAATCACATGTTGTCTCAAACCTGGGACAAAATTAATTTCTTTCTTGTGCTGAACACAAAAGAAGATTAAAGAATGTGGGTAACCAAACAGTTGCTGGTCCCCATTGACTTTGATAGTAGGAAAGAAAAATACTATAGAAGTCACTGGGGACCAGCAACTGTTTGGTTACCCACATTCTTCAAAATAAATGTTATGTTCAACAGAAGAAAGAAACTCATTCAGGTTTAAAAGAACTTGAGAGTGAGTAAATGATGACAGAATTTTCAGTTTTGGGTGAACTATCCCTTTAATGTTAATAAAACAACAAAACACAGAGAAAAATCAATCCCTGCTCTTGACTGAAGAACTTTAATACAGTTGTTTTAATAAGAATCAATGTATACAGTGACATGTATATAGTGTTATTTTTATATTTGTTTATTCAATTTCCTGAATGCGACTGCTAAATACACATAATGTACCTGAAAAATAAAGCACTTTTTTGTATATTATGTGTATTTGTGATATGTGTCTTTGTTCTTATTTTAAAGATAAAACAATGACAAAGATATAACGCCCACTTTGGCCTAAATGTTTCCCATTGTTTTTTTATTTTCTATTTTGTAAGGCTTTGTTTTTAAAATAGGGAAGTTAGTTTGGCTGTACTGCCCAGACAACTTGCAAAATAGTAAAACCAAAATCACAAAGAATCATGATAAAATCGTGAATCGTGATTTTCATGAAAAAAAAAAAAAAATCGTGATATGATATTTTTGCTACAGTATATCGCCCACCCCTAGCCACACAGAACAAAGAGGCGGTATTATTCAGAATCAAGTGAAGTTGAACCATTCACAAGTGCGCACTACGCAGGTGCAAATAAATGGCGCTAGCATTGCTTAAAGCGGAGTTTTGTGTTTGGCGTTACATTTTCTGAAAACACTTTACAATAAGGTCCCTTTAGTTAACCTTTGTGAATGTACTACTGACTCTCATTAACATTAACAATGAGCAGCACATTTGTAACAGTGGTTATTAATCTTTGTTAATGTTAGTTAATGAAAATGCATCTGTTCATTAGTTAATGTTAGTTCATGTTTATAGAAGCTTGTTTCCGCTACTGGCTAAAAAATGAAAAAGGTAATTGTGAATTTTTTTCTTACAATTCTGAGTTTATATCCAACAATTCTGACCTTTTTTCTCAGAATTGCGAGATATAAACTCAGAATTGCAATATATAATAATGCTAAAGATATTTAGCATTATTAAATGTCGAAATTAACATTAATTAAGATGAACAAATTCTTTATAATTATTTTCATTGTTAGTTCATTTTAACTGGTGTAAGTAACTAATGTTAGCAGTTGGAGACTTACTGTAAAGTGTTAGCCATTTTTTGTTTCAGATAAACTTGTATCTTAAGATGGAGAAGAAACCCAACAAAAAGGATCAGCTGAACATAGTGAACAATGTGCTGAGGCTGGCCACAAAATTACTGAAAGTAAGACCATCAGAAAATTGCCATTCATCGGAAAAAAATAAAAGATTTCAGGCTTGCATTGACCATCATTTGCTACTTTCAGGAATTGGACACTCCATTTCGTCTGCTGGGTCTGACGGTGAACCCTCTGATCTACAATATCACGAGAGTGGTCATCCTGTCAGCCCTCTCAGCTGCCGTCAGCGATTTACTAGGGTTCAACATCCGGGTGAGGGGAACATTTGCACACCAAGCACAGTGGTTATCTCCACCTGTATCCTGGGTCTGTTTTATTGTCCCGCTGACATGCAGATGTCTGGAGTTATTGATCTTGATGATCTGTGTTTTTATGACTCTAAAGTCATAACTGCATCTGTACTACTTCCTGTTATCAGCATAGTGGGAACTGCTCACTCTTTGTAGTATATGACTTTTATCACACAGCAGTATAACATATACATGCAATCTTTAACAAAATCCATCATGTTTTTTTTTTTTTAACAGCTCTGGAAGATCAAACCTTGATGTGATGCTTTTACACTGCCAGCGTCTTAACACTGAGGCCAGAGAGACTCTTAAATGTGCTTGTGCACAACCTACCAGATGACCAAGTTATCTTTTAAAAACTGTGCGAATCTACTGACCAAACTAATACATGACTTTTCTTCCATACCCTGTGCCTTCGGCCAGTCCAACAAACCTGTGTTCAGCTCAGCTGTTTTTGTTGAGCTCGTATTTGAATTGTAGAACCATAAAGCACACTTGCTTTCTTGATGCACTTGCTTACTGTAACTACTTAACAGCTTGCTGTTATATTCCAATTAGTGACCGCTGTTTCCCATAAATGTATCCTCTGGAAGCGTATTATCTGGTCTGGAAGCAACCACTTAAAACAGAACCACTATGTGCCTTGTGAAATATATATATATCAGTACTTTTAAATAAGCTATTTATGAGACATGGATTTGTCAACCGCTGAATGGGTAATGAAATGAAAGTTTTGAGCTTTTAGTAAAGGGTACTGAAAAACTTGCACACTGAATCTCTTGGAGGGAGCACCTTTTACTGGCATTGTATTCAAATAAACACAACTTTCTCTAAGAAACTTCCTCAATTAATCCTTAACAAAATATTTGAGTTTGGGGTGGGGGGGGTTTTCACATATAACATTTTAACAGCAGTGAAGTATTGTGAATGTACTATTACTGACGACTCAAAAATCTTATTTCTTAATTTTTATTTTTAATTTATTTATCATAAGTAGAAAAGTGAGGGTTCTGTGATTTTACTGCTATACTTTTATACGGCAATCACTGGATAATTCGTGAACGAAATGAAAGCAAATAAGAAATATGCTAGAAGAAATTTGAGTGTGTAAAAATGACATATGGACGTAATTAAAACTTCTTATTTATTTATGATGTTATTGTCTTTTTCTATAGTTTTATAAAAATTGTTTGTGACTTTTAAGATGTAACGATGAAAGTGTCACTGAACGAATCCGTTCAGGAATCGAAAGAATTAATGATTCAAAAGAGTCGAGTCACTGAGGTTAATCAAAATCACCACCACTTACCAGCACGCTGTAATGTTTGGTGAAAGTCTACTATTCACTTCACAGACGGACGCGATGTCATGCTTTCACAGGTATTACGGTAAGTAAACAGTGACGTCGAGACACCTTCACTCACGAGCTTGGCGCTGGTTGCTATGGAAGGTCATCAAGTGCAAACGCGACAGAAGCAACAGCACCCTGCGCAAACACATTAAACCTGCCGGTAGGACCGGTGGAGACGGAATGAAATACAGACCCCCTGAGCTTGAAGGGACGACCATTTGGAAACTCACGTTTTACGTATCTCAGTCATGTGTTTAATTTTAATCTATTCATTTTATGATGTAATGACTAATTGCTGACAAACCCTCCGCACAGGCTACTGTTTACTGATGACCGAACATGGAATCCTCAGCATCCTCTTCTCTGTTACAATGTAGCGCGACGTTTGTTGTTACTGCGCTGCGGGTCATTACGAAAATGACGACGTGGCAAGAATAAAAGCTGCAGTGTCACTAAATAGAGCGTTTTGTGAGGAGAAAATGATTTAAATTGTCGTTAGTTCTTTTTAATAAACCAATAACGTAGGCTGCGTACATTGTCCTTATTCCACCCCTACTCTCTGCAGGAATGTTTTTACAGCAGGAAGAGTAAGTGAGTGATAGCAACCCTCTACATTGCGAGTAAATCACTCGCATATGCGACTAAATGATGTCTAATATTAGGCAATTGCTAATAAATTCTCAGATTTTACTCGCCAGTGTGTGAGTTGGAGGCTAAGTATAAGTTTAGCTCAGATATATTTTCACACGCCGAACACTCTGACTGAGCGCTTCAGAGTTTCACTCTCCGTCAAGTGATCTGTGCTGTTTTTCAGTTCATCTGAATGGATGTGCAACGCACAACGTACCGTATCATGATCGGCCTCCCTGCCAGAGGCAAGACGTACATGTCAAAGAAACTCACGCGCTACCTCAACTGGATTGGAGTTCCCACAAAGGGTGAGTGGGCAGCTGAATTTAGACAGTTGCAACATATCAAATGACACTCACTATAAATATAATCTGTCTTCACTTTTACATGCATCATTTAGCTCTCAGCTGACCATTCTGACATGATGGTCTATCAAGAGGCTAAATTGGAACTTGCATTATTTAAATGTGTAGGCAACCCAACACATTTCAACTCAAACTCTCATGACTACGTCATGACCTACAATGCAAGTGTTTTAATCACTGTAACTGAAGTCAGAGATTCCTAATGCAATGAGAATTGAACTGTTCCATCTTTACATGCAGAGTGATGTCACCTTGATGCATAACAGTTGCGCTAGAACCGATAAAGGATGTGTCACAGTCTTCAGCGGGTGTGCCCAGAATGGCCACCAGATGACGACTGTTTTCTGTGAGCACATGGCTTGTGTCGTGTTTGTTTGGTGCCATGTGCTCTCTCCTGTCTATTGTCTTGCCCCGCCCATCTTGTTACCTCATTATTGTTTAAGTTGCTCCACCTGTGTCTCCCTCGCTAGCCTCCTCATTTGGTTTCCTATTTATTCTCCTGGTGTCTGTAATCCTGTGCTGATCCGTCGTTTTTCATTGTGTGTGTTATGTCTGCATGTAGTGCAGTTCCTAGCCTGCCTGTCTGTTTTTCCCCCTCGGGGTTGTTTTAGTTTGTTTTTGTTTCATTTTATTATTAAAAGAAAGAACCATTCATCCTGCACTTGAGTCCTTGCTTCATCTCTCCACACACACCGTGACAGCATGTGAAGATTAACCATAATTTCTTGTGTTTTTGGGGTTATCTTGCAGTGTTTAACCTGGGGGTGTACCGGAGGGAAGCAGTTAAAGCGTACAAGTCTTATGACTTCTTCAGACATGACAATAAGGAAGCCATGAAGATACGAAAGTAGGATTATATCTTTGTTTAATTTAATGGGATAGTTCTCCCAAAAAGACCATTTTGTCATCATGACTCACACCCTTATGGCTTTCCAAACCTTATGACATTCTTTCTTCCGTGGAACATGAAAGGAGATGTTTTGCAGAATGTCCAAGCTGCTCGCTTTCATATGTTTACAATGTTTTCAGTAAACAAAGAAACAAATGTGATTAAATAAAGCCAGTTAGACTAATGTGATGGTGCAATGACAAAAAATATATTTCAACACATTTCCTGAAGGTTACATTAGTGCACTTCTGACAGGTCAGTTCATGTTTTTCCTGAGAACTGAGTTTACTTGAATTCAGTGCATGTCTATTGTTGCATTTTTTTCATTTTCCCAAATAGACAGTGTGCCTTGGTGGCCCTGCAAGATGTAAAGATCTACCTGAATGAGGAAGGTGTACAAATAGCTGTAAGGATTTACCTTTTTTTTTCTGTTCACCTCTATTATTTACTTAAATGTAATAGGGACGTGGAGTGTTTATGAATATTAATAAGGTTCAGGACTTCTTTCTTTATATTTGATATAATCTGTTTTTGTCCTTTTAAGGTATTTGATGCCACAAACACAACCTGGGGGAGGCGGGATCTTATAATAAATTTTGTACAGGAGAATGCATAAGGTATCACAGCCAAATGTGCACTTCCATAGTTATCGTTTTGCAGAAGTGATGTGTGGTCATTATTTTCCTATTTGTGTTTGTTTACCTTTGCAGGTGTTTTTTGTGGAGTCAGTATGTGATGATCCAGAGGTTATTGCAGCTAACATCCTGGTATGTTATGTTGTGATGTTTGGTTTGCATTTTCTTTAAACTAATGGTATAATGAAGTATAGCAACATACCAGAATTGCTTTTCATGATCTTCTCAACAGCTGTCTCTTATGTGCTCTTATTTCTTCACGAGGTCAAGGTTTCAAGTCCAGATTATCCAGAGACACACAGAGAGACAGCCAATGGCGATTCAATTGCCAAGGTGTTCGTAGAGGGCTGGATAAAGTCTGACAGATTCAGTATGTCTGCATGGGTGCAGCAGGAGGCTGGTCCAACCAGTTCTGCTGAAGCCAAGAAATCAGAACCCAGAGGTCAAGAGAAGAAATGCTGTAAGTACACACTCTTTCACATCCCACAGATCTAAGAAATTGAATGAAACCATGTTTAAACTGGCCTAAGGTGGTCAGCTGGTTATGCTGGTCTGTTTCATGGGTGTTACAGAGGTTTGTGCTACTGAGTTTCCCACATAACAGTTTTGTTCCTGACCTATTCAATTTTAACAACAGCCCTGGATCATTTCACAGTTGCCCTTCTTATAATGTCAGCTGTCACTGAGGCTGTTAAACAGAAGTTCACTGTCAGTCTAGATTAGAAATAAACCTGCTGTGCTTCCTTTTATTTATATATGCATTGTCTGTTATGCTGGTTTCAAATTGCAGATCAAGGTAAAGGCACATTTGTTTAAGGTTTGTTCTAGGTATTTTTTCCAGTCATTATCAAATTGCTGACCTGAGGCAATGTTTTCTTAATACACAATTCTTTCATTATTTAAAAAAAAAAAAGTTCAGTGATTTCATTTGCATTTTACATTCGTTTGGTCTTTTTGGTTAAAAAATAGAAAAAAGTAATTGTATGTACTTATTTAAAAACCATTCATTTATCTTGGAAGAATAACTAAATAGACACAATACTGTTTTATAAATAGTATTGAAAGAAATGTAATGCTTTAAATTAGACTGGAGTCAATATATTATACACCAGTTCAAAATATTTTTTTGATTCATAAAGGACAAAAATTGATCAAAAGTGACAGTAAAGAAATTCATAATGTTATTGTTATATTGTTATAATGATATACTATTCTTCTGAACTTTATATTCATCAAAGAACCTGAAAAAAAATCTGTCACAGTTTCCACAAAAATATTAAGCAGCACAACTTTCGATTTTCAGCAAGGATAAGAAATGTTACTTGAGCATCAAATCAGCATATTAGAATGATTTCTGATGGATCATGTGACACTGAAGATTGGAGTCATGGCAAAAAATTTGCCTTAATGCAAGCGAGGTGTCAACAGTCACAGAGTTTCAGGTCCTATTTTGTAGTTTGTTTGTGGAAAGTACCATAAACCACAAGTGCAAACATCTTCTGTTGGTGTCCCATATGTGAAATTTACATTTGACAAATTATAATTAGTACTGTAGATTGTAACTTCCTCTAGCTCATTTTGTGTTGTTGATATTGTCTGTCTGTTTTTCTGTGCCTGTCTGACCACAGCATGGGCGTCTTACATGACTAACTCCCCCACCATGATTGTCATGATCGGCCTCCCTGCCAGAGGCAAGACGTACATGTCAAAGAAACTCACGCGCTACCTCAACTGGATTGGAGTTCCCACAAAGGGTGAGTGGGCAGCTGAATTTAGACAGTTGCAACATATCAAATGACACTCACTATAAATATAATCTGTCTTCACTTTTACATGCATCATTTAGCTCTCAGCTGACCATTCTGACATGATGGTCTATCAAGAGGCTAAATTGGAACTTGCATTATTTAAATGTGTAGGCAACCCAACACATTTCAACTCAAACTCTCATGACTACGTCATGACCTACAATGCAAGTGTTTTAATCACTGTAACTGAAGTCAGAGATTCCTAATGCAATGAGAATTGAACTGTTCCATCTTTACATGCAGAGTGATGTCACCTTGATGCATAACAGTTGCGCTAGAACCGATAAAGGATGTGTCACAGTCTTCAGCGGGTGTGCCCAGAATGGCCACCAGATGACGACTGTTTTCTGTGAGCACATGGCTTGTGTCGTGTTTGTTTGGTGCCATGTGCTCTCTCCTGTCTATTGTCTTGCCCCGCCCATCTTGTTACCTCATTATTGTTTAAGTTGCTCCACCTGTGTCTCCCTCGCTAGCCTCCTCATTTGGTTTCCTATTTATTCTCCTGGTGTCTGTAATCCTGTGCTGATCCGTCGTTTTTCATTGTGTGTGTTATGTCTGCATGTAGTGCAGTTCCTAGCCTGCCTGTCTGTTTTTCCCCCTCGGGGTTGTTTTAGTTTGTTTTTGTTTCATTTTATTATTAAAAGAAAGAACCATTCATCCTGCACTTGAGTCCTTGCTTCATCTCTCCACACACACCGTGACAGCATGTGAAGATTAACCATAATTTCTTGTGTTTTTGGGGTTATCTTGCAGTGTTTAACCTGGGGGTGTACCGGAGGGAAGCAGTTAAAGCGTACAAGTCTTATGACTTCTTCAGACATGACAATAAGGAAGCCATGAAGATACGAAAGTAGGATTATATCTTTGTTTAATTTAATGGGATAGTTCTCCCAAAAAGACCATTTTGTCATCATGACTCACACCCTTATGGCTTTCCAAACCTTATGACATTCTTTCTTCCGTGGAACATGAAAGGAGATGTTTTGCAGAATGTCCAAGCTGCTCGCTTTCATATGTTTACAATGTTTTCAGTAAACAAAGAAACAAATGTGATTAAATAAAGCCAGTTAGACTAATGTGATGGTGCAATGACAAAAAATATATTTCAACACATTTCCTGAAGGTTACATTAGTGCACTTCTGACAGGTCAGTTCATGTTTTTCCTGAGAACTGAGTTTACTTGAATTCAGTGCATGTCTATTGTTGCATTTTTTTCATTTTCCCAAATAGACAGTGTGCCTTGGTGGCCCTGCAAGATGTAAAGATCTACCTGAATGAGGAAGGTGTACAAATAGCTGTAAGGATTTACCTTTTTTTTTCTGTTCACCTCTATTATTTACTTAAATGTAATAGGGACGTGGAGTGTTTATGAATATTAATAAGGTTCAGGACTTCTTTCTTTATATTTGATATAATCTGTTTTTGTCCTTTTAAGGTATTTGATGCCACAAACACAACCTGGGGGAGGCGGGATCTTATAATAAATTTTGTACAGGAGAATGCATAAGGTATCACAGCCAAATGTGCACTTCCATAGTTATCGTTTTGCAGAAGTGATGTGTGGTCATTATTTTCCTATTTGTGTTTGTTTACCTTTGCAGGTGTTTTTTGTGGAGTCAGTATGTGATGATCCAGAGGTTATTGCAGCTAACATCCTGGTATGTTGTGATGTTTGGTTTGCATTTCCTTTAAACTAATGGTATAATAAAGTACAGCAACATACCAGTATAGGTTTTTATGGTCTTCTCAACAGTTGTCTCCTATGTGCTCTTATATCTTCAGGATGTCAAGGTTTCAAGTCCAGACTATCCAGAGACACACAGAGAGCGAGTCATGGATGATTTCCTGAAACGCATAGAATGTTATAAAGTCACTTACCAACCACTAGATCCTGATGAATATGACAAGTAAGAATGTTTAGAAAATAGAGACATAACACATGTACATATATTTTCTGCTTTAGATTCAACCTTTTGTCTGTTTTGGCGTTATTTGTTTTAAGCAGCATTGCAAGCATCTATATAATAAATATAATATCATATAAAATAAAATTATATAATAAAGACCCATTTATATTGTAAAAAATAAAACTATTATAAATATGTCTAAATAAATCATTCATTTATCTTGGAAGAATAACTAAATAGACACAATACTGTTTTATAAATAGTATTGAAAGAAATGTAATGCTTTAAATTAGACTGGAGTCAATATATTATACACCAGTTCAAAATATTTTTTTGATTCATAAAGGACAAAAATTGATCAAAAGTGACAGTAAAGAAATTCATAATGTTATTGTTATATTGTTATAATGATATACTATTCTTCTGAACTTTATATTCATCAAAGAACCTGAAAAAAAATCTGTCACAGTTTCCACAAAAATATTAAGCAGCACAACTTTCGATTTTCAGCAAGGATAAGAAATGTTACTTGAGCATCAAATCAGCATATTAGAATGATTTCTGATGGATCATGTGACACTGAAGATTGGAGTCATGGCAAAAAATTTGCCTTAATGCAAGCGAGGTGTCAACAGTCACAGAGTTTCAGGTCCTATTTTGTAGTTTGTTTGTGGAAAGTACCATAAACCACAAGTGCAAACATCTTCTGTTGGTGTCCCATATGTGAAATTTACATTTGACAAATTATAATTAGTACTGTAGATTGTAACTTCCTCTAGCTCATTTTGTGTTGTTGATATTGTCTGTCTGTTTTTCTGTGCCTGTCTGACCACAGCATGGGCGTCTTACATGACTAACTCCCCCACCATGATTGTCATGATCGGCCTCCCTGCCAGAGGCAAGACGTACATGTCAAAGAAACTCACGCGCTACCTCAACTGGATTGGAGTTCCCACAAAGGGTGAGTGGGCAGCTGAATTTAGACAGTTGCAACATATCAAATGACACTCACTATAAATATAATCTGTCTTCACTTTTACATGCATCATTTAGCTCTCAGCTGACCATTCTGACATGATGGTCTATCAAGAGGCTAAATTGGAACTTGCATTATTTAAATGTGTAGGCAACCCAACACATTTCAACTCAAACTCTCATGACTACGTCATGACCTACAATGCAAGTGTTTTAATCACTGTAACTGAAGTCAGAGATTCCTAATGCAATGAGAATTGAACTGTTCCATCTTTACATGCAGAGTGATGTCACCTTGATGCATAACAGTTGCGCTAGAACCGATAAAGGATGTGTCACAGTCTTCAGCGGGTGTGCCCAGAATGGCCACCAGATGACGACTGTTTTCTGTGAGCACATGGCTTGTGTCGTGTTTGTTTGGTGCCATGT